ATGTCATTATAAGCTTCAATGACATACAACTAGCTGTTTAAAGGTTGATTAGATGAACAATAATTGTTGTAATAATAGACAAATAACAATCTACATTAAACTGTACACATTGTCATGGGTTAACAATCCACACAACAAAAAATAAAACCCAAACAAATGACATGGTTAGATGGGAAACAATTCGTCCGTTCTAAGAAGATAAAGATAAAGATTCATGGAAAGAATGACTTTTGTCATGCAATATACATATTGACTTGTCAAGAGATTTTATACAACCAGCAAACAAACATCATAGAAAGGGTCAACTATAAGACAAATTATATAAAAGAAAAGTGATAAATGAAGATAAAGGGAAAAGTGAGAGAGAGAGAGAGAGAGAGGGATGGAGAGGGAGAGACAGATGTGAAATGTTATTAGAAAGTATAGTACATTAATATTCAATATAAAAAGGTATAATATTGTAAAGTGATATATCCCGATATGAATAATGAATGGTAACTGTTCGGATCAATTTATGGGTGTAATTATTATGTAACTAAACGATGCATATTTATATTCTTCTTAGTTTAAGCTTCATTTTGATTCATAGACTATCATTATACGATTTACCATTATTGAATGATGCTCAGTTTATGGATTACAGTCTCCCATATTCACAGCCACTTTTGGCTAGATTCTGTACAAATGATGTTTCATATTTTATAGTACGATGTGGTCTGTTTGGTTTTGTATATAAATCCAATATGAGTATCGGGGTTGTGGAGATTATTAAGTTTTCGATTGAGATCATGAATCGACTGTTGTTAGACCACCGTTAGAAACCTGGAAGCATTGGACGGCCGTTTCGTCTTAATAGCCGTGACCACTGGAGCTAATCCGTGTCGGGTAGAGACAGGTATCTACCTCAGTACAATGGATGATGGTTGCGCAATTTCATGGATTGGTTGATGTTAGACATTAACATCATTGGATGCCGGCTCATTAGTCCAGTAGGTTAAGCGTTCGCGCGCGAGACTGAGTGCCTTGGGTTCCAATCCCGCTGAGGAGTCCCATACTAGGACGAAACGGCCGTCTATTGCTTCCAGGTTTCTAACGGTAGTCTAACATCAGTCGATTCATGATCTCAATCGAAATCCAGTATGGTTGAAATATATGATTCCTATTGCGGAGGCTGAGATTAGGATTCCGGACTCAATGGGTAGGGCTAGTCAGAAAGAAGGACCGATATGGTTTATAGACTGCTCGTATGGGTTTATGCAATATTAGCGCAGTCAATAAGTCATTAATCTCTAATTGGCGGCATCATTACGTTATATCTTAATAAGGCAAAAGGCCACAAGTTATAACATAATGAATTAAAGGATTGATCCCAATATAAGTTTTAAATAAGATAAAGATAATCAAAACTAAAGGGATGTATATCACTGAATTGTTTGTACAAAATACAATGATAAGTATAAATGTGATCATATATGATTGAAATATCAGTATTGTATGCCACAAGCTCCGTTTCCTCATTATAGTATTGGTGTTTTAGATACTAATTCTTGTATATCAGAATAAACATAAGATTTAAGTAAATGGGTTAGTTATACAAAAAGTTAAAGGAAAATAACTGGTCCATTTCCATTATTTATCCAATGTTAGTTGGGTCTGTTTGAAGAAAGTACTAGTTCATTCAAAAAAAATTGTTACTACTATTTACCATCTAATTCACTTGATGTTCTTTTACTTGTACCTTATCATTGTTATTTAGGACTGTAATTGATTAGTGATTATGGAAAATTGTAGATTTACACTAGGGGTAAGTTACAAATGTTAATAAAACATCTAGTTGATGAGTCGAAATAGGAAAAAACACACATCCTGGATTCCACTACTAACCGCTATCCATTGTTGATCAGAATGCTTCTAAATTAAAACAATATCGAGGCAATACGCACAGTATTTACATATGCTAATAAGAGACTGTTCAATTGCAGTCCTAAACATCAATGAGAAGATTCAAACAAACAATACCAAGTGAATTTAAACTTCACCCCATTATACAAACAAATAGTTATCAAGACTCAGTAGTTAATAAGAAAGCGCTATAGCGTTTAATGCTAATGGTACTGAGTTCGAGTTCAAAAAATGAACATCAATTTCAAGATTCAATTAAATCCAATTGACAAGTCCTAAACAGGACGAAACGCTCAGTATGTACATATGCTCATAAGAGACTGTTGTTCAATTGAAATCCTAAACATCAATTAAAAAGATTCAAGTAAAACAACAACATCAATTGAATTTATCTTTCAAATCATATTGGAATATTGATGAAACGGTTTATGTTTATTTAGATATTCAACTGGTTTCTGTCCTAATTTTAAGTTATAATTAGGCAAGAAAATTGAGGGAAACTTTTTTTTCTCATTAAGGACTGATATTGATCGAAAAATCGTTAAAAAAACGTGATAAAAGTAGATAGCTAGTTTTCTATGATTTGAAATGTTTCAACAGTGGAGATACAAGAAAGTCTTACAATCAGTTTGAATTTAGATGGTTTGTGTTTTAGATTTAAGTCAATTTGTGTTTGTCCTCAACTTTTATCAAAAGCATAGTTACTTACGTACATTATATATGATTATATGTAACTTCTACAACAACAACAACAACAAAAAAACAAACTATTCCGTTTGAATTCACTTTGATTCTATTGATTGTTGTTTAAGACTACAATTGATCAATCTCTTATTGGTATATTTGCACCCGGTGAGGATTCCCTTGATATTTCCATTATATGTAAAGATAGATAATGGTTAGTAGTAAAACCCAGAACACACGTTTTGTCCTGTTTCGGACTCGTCAGATACATACACATTCACCTCAGAGTTGATATTCACTCCAAACTTTGAACTCAATATCATTCGCTTTAAATGCCATCACGTTATCCCCTTAGTAACTGAGTTGATATAAACACTAGATTGTTCAATAAGTTGAAATTTTTATTCATTTAGCTACAATACAAAAAATTTCACAAGCTAATGATTACCTCAATTTGAAACGAGTGATATTGGGTTCGAGTCCCGGAGTGAACATCAACTCTGAGATATGGATATATCCATCTGACAAATCTCAAATAGGATGAAGCGCGCATTCTTTTTTTTCACTATTAGTTAACATTCATCTATGGCTTATATTTAATTTGTATTTTTATCATGTATTATCATATTATGAATTAGAAAATAGTAACCTTAATCTAACAACTATACTCTATTCAAAACGATATCATCTTACCTTTATTAAAGAACCTCAGTGAATTGGATTAATCAAAGTATAGTCAACAAAAACAAAAACAACAACAACAATGATAATACCGCCAATGAAAATAAGCAAAACAAGACGAACTAATCATCTATTAAAGCATAATTTATCAACAACTAGAAAAAGCTGGAAAGGATTGTCCAGGACAGGGTTGGATAGAGAGTGTTGGTAAAAGGCCTATGATACTCCACGAGGAGTAACAGGCTTAAGTAAGTAAGTAAGTAAGTAAGTATCAATTTACCTATATTATGTAATCTATGTCTGGATAAACAACATACTACTAACATTCAACCACGGTTATTTCAAGGTAAAAACTAATTGTTCCTTTCCCCTTGAATAAATTATTCGTATATAAATAAATACAATAGTGATACTCATATTAGTGAAATGATAAAAACGTGGAAGAAGAAGAAGAAGAAAAAGGAAAGTGAACAATGACACAGCCAGTCAGTCAGTTACAACGTAGGATTAGGCACATGTATGCATCAGTTCAATTTGCCGTACCTCACTAACACAACATGATGAACACCGATTTCATAGAAGTAGTTAAATCAGTGGTAGTAATATATAAAAGAAAGATTGCATATAGGGACATAGTACAGGAAGAAAGAATTAGTTGGAAGAAAAAAGATATGAAGCGATCTTAACCTCATAGTTTTGAGGAAAGAGAGAGAGAGTGTGTATACACCGACGCCATTGTGATCGATTCTGAGCCATGTCACATAGAGTCTCCAACCGTTGTTGCTAGCCTAATGTGGTGGTCGGGCATGTCTATTGTAACGAACCAATCGAGCTATGTTGGCTGCAACAATCGTTCCTCAAGGTACTACATGTCAGACAGGTCGGTTAAAGAATGGGAAGATTAAAAGCAGCAAGCTCAAGACCCGAAAGTGAAGTCGTACTGCTGACTTTACAGAGGTGTGACAGCAGTAAGGTGTTTCTTTCAGACAACCAGCATAACAGCGATGCTGCTTTCCCACAAGGAGGCGTGGTGTTAGAAAGGTCGACCCTAAAAATGAACACCTCACCTTATCCCACGGATATCCGTCTCCGGCGGTAAGATCTGAATAAGTACGGAGCTAACACAAAAAGGTCGTGTGTGACCGACCTCAAGCAGCTATCACTCTCAGATCACTGAAACCACCTCTAATCCAATTTCCTTTTTAGGTACCTTCCACATTGTGATCAACTGGGAAGTGATAACCACCCTTATACTTCCAACAGTATTCATAATCAACCTCCCTCTTCAATTCTCATTATTCTTCATACAATAACACAATAAACAACCAAAACAAAAAAAGAAAAAAAGAAAAGAAAAAAAGAAAAGCAATTGAAACTAAGACAATTTAATTATCAAAAAAGAAAAAAAAAGAAAAATAATTACAAACAAACCGACAGATAAACAAATAGAAGACAAATATACTCTACTGTTAATATCACATATACAAATATACTAATACAGATACCAATACAGATACAGCTATAAATATAGATATAGATATAGATATATATTCAGTTGTGAACTACTCAACAAAAAAAAATTTGAATCTGCCTCCCAACTAATTATCAACTACAGAAGCAAAATATGGAATAGTTGATTGGGTTTCTATCTTAGAAACAATAATATTGACTAGAGAGAAAAAAATTTGTTTGTTTGTTTGTTTGTTTGTTTGTTTGTTTGTCTAATAACCTACCTGACTAACGAAGTATTTGTTGAATGATGTATAATACAATTGAAGGAACTGAAGAAATTGATAAAATGAAAATATTCAATTGATTTGTATTAGAAATATACTCTTTTTAATATATTTCATAATGGAATTCATTAGTCGATGAAAGCTAGATCATTATGAAAATCATTATATCTTGATATGATACCTTTCAATAGTTACGATGAATTGATCACTGGATAGTGATCAGTGTCATGTGTCAGATCTTTTTTTAATGCAGATTAAATGCTGTTGACCAAGTTGCAATATGGCCACCAGTCTAGATGACTCGATACTGAATGCACTATGTTGAGATAAGATGGTGGTTGGATGTAGTCAACAGGAAACCCTAGAACCGGGTTTCGTGTTACTTGGCACTCGTCAGCAAGGTGTACCTGTAATCTTAAGGGAACTAATGTCCCTTGACGGATTCAATCCAGTGTCACCTAGCTTCACATTCAAAGATGTTACCACTAAGCTATTCGGGCAGCGACTGATCTCCTGTAGGACAAAGATGTAATCACAATTGAATGATCACTGGGTGGTGATCATTGTCATGTGTGTCATATCCTTCTTAGTACAGATCGAATGCTATCGACTGTGAAGCTGGGTGACATGGGATCGAATCTGTCAGGGTGTACCAGTTCCCTCAAGATTATAGGTACACCTTGCTGACGATTGCCAAATACCACTACCTCCAATCACCATCTTACTTGTCAACAATGCATATCCATCTTCCTATTCGCGGGATTCAAACCACGGACCTATCGGTTTCGACTTATGAATTCAACTATTGAATTACTACAATAAAATAATGTGAAATTTTGTGTTTTTTTTTTCATGTTTTAAAAGAAAAGAAAATGTTTTTTTTTTTTTTTTTTACCTACCGTGGAATTTTCGCTGGAAGTAACCACATTGTTGGTGATGTATCTGTTAAATGAATCGGTGCTGTTGTTACATCATTTGGTTGTAGATTGGAAATTTTTTGATTGGGATTAAAATTTAATAAATTAGATGGTGAATGAATTTGTCCTAAAGTCTAAAATGATCAAAAACATAAAACAGGTATGTATATACCAATTATAGCTATAAGTAAATACAATACAATAGTTTACTAATCAAATGAATATATCATGTTACTGAGGAGATACTTTGTCAGCAAGAAAGTTCGACAGATTATCATATGAGATTATAACTGATGGATAACCTGTGAGCGACGCTAAACTGATTGTGAAACTGTCTAACTACTTACTAAGGTTCAATGACAGTTATAAAGAAGTTTGAAGAATAAGGATTATAATTTATAGTTGATGGTTAAGGTTAGGAATTAGATTTATAGTTTTTCATCACGAACTGACATCAGATATAATGCCAGGATTCTATTTAATCAAATGATTAAATGAATTTTGCGCCAAAATCTAAGACCTGTTATCGTAAATCTGATTGGTTCATCCATAAATTATAATCTCACCCATCATTGCTGATGTCAGTTCGTGATGAAAAACTATAAATCTAATTCCTAACCTTAACCATCAACTGTAACTCATAATTCATATTATTCACACTACCTTATAATCCTCATTTGTCCCGGTTGTCAGATGGACATTCTCAAGGTCATTTCAGCATCACTCAAATGTCATCCATAAATGATAGTCTCATTAGAAAGTTTATAATAGTAAGCAATTAAATGAAACTAATAGAAAACTGACTCATGATCTTAACCATTGAAATTACTACAATCTCCACAAAACCCCTTCTGATAATAATCAACATATGCTCACTAGTGAATGGCTTCAAGAGGTATATCCTGGAGTTCTAGTGAGAAGTAGTGACCAGTGGAGTTCAACTCGGTCTCTTGTGAGATAGTAACTCACTGATGACAATGGTGGATTTGTCGCTCAATTCCGTGGAATAGTTGAAGTTAGACATTAACACAGTTGAATGCCGGTTGGTTCAGTGGTCTAGTGTCTAAGTGCTCGCGCGCGAAACCAGTAGGTCATGGGTTCGAATCTCGCAGAGGGCGAGGTCAAGGATGCGCACTGCGGAGGAGTCCCACAATTGGACGAAACGGTCGTCCAGTGCTTTCAGGTTTTCCAAGGTGGTCTAGCTTCAACTGACTCAGCTTCTTAACCATTGAAATTACTACAATCTCCACAAAACCCCTTCTGACAATAATGAGATTAGACTTTATTCGTATGGTTATTTGGATTCTCATTTCTCTCTTCTTTATTGTTAAATACTTGAATATTGTCCTTTTTTTAAATACAAGAAGATAGTTGTTTATGAAATATCAGGAAGAACATGGTGTCACTATTAACATGAAGAAGTGTGAGTTTGGAAAGGAATCATTGCAGTTCCTAGGTTATATGATACTCGCTTATTCGACTCGTATGCTTACTCAATTGCCCATTTACTTTTCGGTACTGATCTTTGATGCTTGCTTACCGTATCGGTTATTTCGGTTATCTGCACGTGGTACAATAATAAACTTATATAACATTTTGCATTCACCTTTTGATTCATATACTGTTGAAGCGGGTATTTAGTGACGATTATCAGGACGAACTGTATACGAAGTTTAAGAATTAGATTGAATACCGATCATTACAAGATAACAAAGACTAAATGGACTCAAACTAGGATCATCCTATCTAGTGGCATTCACAATACTATTATTGACTTATGTATGTAGTTGAAATTAAATAAGGTAAGAGTATAGTATATGGAGAAATTTGTAAGCTTATTAGAAAATACATTATATGTGAATATATCATTGGAAAAACATGAACAGTATCATGAAGACTTTATGTAATTAATGATTATATATGGAAATATTCTGCAGGATGTTATATCTATAGATGAGGCTGCTGGCTCATTCGTCAAGAGGTTAAGTGTTCCAGTGCAAGACCGAAGATCCTGGGTTTGAATCCTGCAAGTGGGACCCTGGATGAGCACTGCTGAGGAGTCACATAATAAAACGAAATGGCCATTCAGTACTTCCAGGTCTTATTATTATGCCATTTTAAACTTTACTTCAATTTTATCGGTGTATGAGCTGTTCCAACCTACTGTGGGAGAGAACAAGTCAAATCCCAGTGGAGGAAGAAATTAGGAAGAAGAGATGTAATTGGACAGGACACACATTGAGGAAAGCGTACAAGTGCATCACAAGACAAGCCCTCAAATGAAATCTTTAACGCCAAAGGAGATGAAGAAGATCAAAGAACACATTAAGCCGAGAAGTGGAGATAGACAGATATGAGAAGAATGATCAACAATAGGATAGAACTAGAAAAAAAGACCCAGGACAGAGTGGATTGGAGAATGCTTGTCGGCTGCCTATGCTCCATAAGGAGTAACAGACATAAGGAAACAAGTAACTATGCACTGTTCATTTTCAAAACAGTCTTAATAATGCCATTACAGTTTCTGATATACCATTTATATATTCTTTATCAAAATCTTTTAATAAATAATCTAAATGTTAATGAGAAATAGAAGAAAACACAACAACTACTCTATAAATACACATACTGAACTCGATTCAATGTTTACTTTTAACCTATATAAAACAAAATAAAAATGAATTAACTCCTCCTGGAACCTTTTTGACGCTACTGTCAGCCCAAAACTCGGATAAAGAAGGAGGGTTGAGCATAGAGTTAACAACCCCCATCCCGTCGAAAACTAACTTGCTAAGAAAAAATAATAAAAAACAAAAACTAACCTTTTGGTTTAATGCTATCAATGAATATGGTGTATTATTTGACCAATTTTGAAGTTGAATTTGTTGTTTTAATGTTTCAACATCTAATTGAATAGAAGGTAATGATTGATTTTGTTGTTGTTGTGGTTGTTGTGGTTGTGGTTGTTGTTGATGTGGTTGTTGATGTAATGATTGTTGTCCAATTGGTTGTTGAGATTGATGTGTTTGTAATTGTTGATTACGTTGATCATTTAATGTTGTTAAAATATTATAAGTTAAATTAGGTAATAATGTTTGAATTGTTCCAGATGGTGAAAGATTTATAATATTTGGAATGGTTGTAGTTAAATAATTACCAGGTGATGTTAATGTTCCTGTAGAATTTATATATGCTGTAGGTGAATTATAAGTAAAATTTAAAGGACAAGATGGTTGAAAATTTACATCAGATTGAATACCAAATTGTGGAAATCTTGTCATTGTTGTAGTATGACCTAATTATTGAAATAAAACAAAATAAATCATAATAAGCAAAGATGGATAGTGGCTAGCAGTGGAATCCAGGACGCGCGTTTCGTCCTATTTGGGACTCGTCAGCTGGATGTACCTGCATCTCAGAGTTGATGTTTGCTTCAAATGCCATCACGTTATCCACTTAGCTACTGAGTCCTGATAGCCACTTGCTTGTGCAATGGGGTGAAGTTTAATTCACTTGATATTGTTATACTTGAATCTTCCCACTGATGTGGGATAACGCGATGGCGTTCGAAGCGAATGGTACTGGGTTCGAGTCCCAGAGTGAACATCAACTCTGAGATGCAGGTACATCCAGCTGACGAGTCCCAAATAGGACGAAACGCGCCTCCTGGATTCCACTGCTAGCCACTATCCATCTTTGCTTATAATGCTTGTAAATTAAGGCAATATCGAGGCAATACGCACAGTATGCACATATGCCAATAAGAGACTGATCAATTGCAGTCCTAAACATCAGTGGGAAGATTCAAGTAAAACAATATCAAGTGAATTAAAATAAATCATAGTTCAATGAGATTGTTTAAAACATGTTAAGGTTTTAAAATGATCATGATTTACTAAGACTTCAATGCATGATATTCATGCGCATAATAATCATGTATATACAATAAGATTGAATGTTTTTATTAGCTGTAAGTATTGTGGAAGTATTTGTGTTGTACTTTACACTGCCGATGACATAAATATAAATTCTTGGAGTTCTAGTGAGAAGCTATGATCAATGGAGCTAGTATGTGTCCGGTAGAGATAGGTATCTACCTCAATATAATGGAAAATGGTTGCACGATTTCGTGGATTGGTTGAAATTGGACAAGTACATCGTAGGATACCGGTTCAATGGTTTAGAGGTTAAGAGTTCGTGAGTGAGACTGAAGGCCCTGGGTTCGAATCCCGCGAGTGGGATTGTGGATGTGCACTAATGAGGAGTCGCACAATAGGATGGAACGGCCGTCCAGTGCTTCCGAATCAGATGATATAGTTCACCATTTTTTAAAACACAAAACATTTAAAAGTTGTATTCATGATCTGATTAAAGATAGATCACCATGAAAAACCTGGAAGCAGTGGATGGCCGCTCCATCATAGTATGGGACTGCTCAGTAGTGTATATCCATGATCCCTGACGTGGGACTTGAACCTAGGATCATCGGTTTCATGCGCGAACGCTTAACCTGTGAATCACTGAGCCGGCATCTAATGGAGTTCATGTCTAACTTCAACCAATCCACGATATTACGCGACCATCCAACATTGTCTTCAGCGAATAACTAATAATATTCATCATCATGTGCTCACTAGTGGCTGGCTTCAAGATGTGTTTTCTGGAGTTCTATTGAGAAACCATAACCAGTGGAGTTCAATCGTAGATTGACTGAAATTAGACATTAACACCGTTGGATGCTGGTCAGTTCAGTGGTCTGAAGTTAAGAGTTTGAATGAGGGATCGAAAGTCCTGGGTTCGAGTCTTGTGTTCAGGATCGTGGATGTGCACTGCTGAGCAGTCTCATACTAGAAAGAAACGGTCATCTAATGTTTCCAGGTTTTTCATGATGATCTAGCTTATGAATTCAACTATTAAATGTTTACAATCTTTACAAACCTCCATTCTAACAGAAAACATTGTTGAATGTATTAACATAACTTATGCTATCTTTTGTAACATAAAACATTGACATCAGGCTTATCACTGAAGAGGATGTTGAAAAAAGTTATTGAATAGAATTTTTAAAGAAATGAACTATTGAAAATAATGATATAACTAACCATTTGATAATACAGCTGCAGATGGGAATTCAATAGGATTTGATTGATGAAGATTTTGATGATGTATACCTGAGGATTCCATTGTTAGATTTGATGTAGTTAAAGGTTGTCCAACATAATTGTTAGATGTTAATGGAAATGATTGAAATTGATTGAATGGCATCACTGATTATTAGAAAAAATTAATAAATAGATAAAAGCTTTAGCTTTCAGAATTGTAATTTAATGGTTATAATGAGTTACTTAATTATTTACTTACACCTGTTATCCCTCATAGAGGAGTCTGTACCGCTTAGGAGCAGTATCCGTTAAACTCTGTTCAGAGCAATTCTTTTCCACTTGTTTCCAGTTATTATTCATACCTTCGATAACTGATTCCTATTCCCGGAGCAGTGTGTTCTTCGGCCTTATACTTTTCCATTTCCCTTCATCATTCCATGTTAGCGCATGCCATATGATGCAGTTTGGTGATTTCTGTAGTTTATGTCTTGTCGACTTCCAACATCTTTTCCTAATTTTTGCTTCAGTTGGGACCTGGTTTGTTCTTTCCTACAGTAGACCGTTGCTAGTGCTTTCTAATCAATGGACATTAAGTATCTTAAGTAGACAATTGTTTATAAATACCTGTACTTCTTTGATGATGGTTATGAAAGTTTTCTAAGTTTCAGCTCCACACAGTAGAACTGCCTTGACGTTTGTATTGAAGATTCTGAATTTGATAATGGTTGATAGTTGTTTTGGTCTTCATATATACTTCAACTGTAGAAATGCTGCGCATGTTTTTCTAATCATTGCATTTACGTCGTCATCCTATTCTCCTTGTTCATCGATGATGGTTCCTAGGTTTGTGTAAGTTTTCACATCTTCCAGAACTTCTCAATGAAGTGTGATTGAGTTGGTGTTTTCCGTGTCGAATTTCAGGATCTTGATTTTTTCCCCGTGTATATTGAGACCTATTAACTCAGAGGCTGTTGCTTCACTGGTTATCTTCATCTATATTTGTTGTTGTGTATAGGATAGAAGTGATAAGTGATCTGCTTAGTCTAAGTCGTCTAGTTACATCCAACCTATCCATTATATTCTGTGCTTACTACACGAGTACCATTGTAGTAAATCAAATGATATTCTCTTACCGTAAGGATAACTTCTGTAACTACCTATTTACATTGCTTTCTGTAGTTAATTAGTATCGTTAAACTTTATACCATCAATAGGTATTGTTCAAAGCTTATAATATAAAATTGTTCATAGTGAATATGTTACTTTATTATTTATATTATTCAAAATATCATAAAGATTGGCAAAGCAAGAGCAGCATATTTACAACTGAAGAACATCTGGAACTCAAAACAATTGCCAACCAACACCACGGTCAGGATTTTCAATTCAAACGTCAAGACAGTTCTACTGTATGGGGCGGAAACCTAGAAAACCACGAAAGTCATCATCCAGAAGATACAGGTGTTTATTAACAGATGTCTACGCAAAATACTTCGGATCCGTTGACCAGACACTATTACCAACAACCTACTGTGGGAGAGAACAAACCAGATCCCAATGGAGGAAGAAATCAGGAAGAAGTGATGTAATTGGATAGGACACACAGAGAACTGCGTCACAAGACAAGCCCTCACATGGAATCCTCAACGCCAAAGGAGATGAAGAAGACTAAAGAACACATTACGCCGGGAAATGGAGATAGACATGAGAAAAATGAATAAGTGGATAGAACTAGAAAAAAAGGCTCAGGACAGAGTGGGTTGGAGAATGCTGGTTGGCGGCCTATGCTCCATTGTGGGTAACAGGCGTAAGTAAGTAAGTAAAATATCATAAAAATATATAATGATATAATATGTGGAAGTTGGAGATCGCTGGTCGGCAGCCTATGCTCCACTGGGAGTAACACGCGTAAGTACGTAAGTAAGTAAGTAAGCAAGTAAGCAAGTAAGTAAGTAAGTATGTACGTATGTATGTATGTATGTATGTATGTATGTATGCATGTGTGTATGTCTAACTTGGAACCCTGAAGGAAAGCGGAAAAGAGGAAGGCCAAAGAACACATTACGTCGGGAATTAGAAGCAGATATGAAAAGAATGAATAAGAACTGGAAAGAGCTGGAAAGGATTGCCCAGGACAGAGTTGGATGGTGAATACTGGTGAGCGGCCTATGCTCCTTCATGAGGAGTAACAGGCGTAAGTAAGTATGTATGTGTGTGTATGTATGTATGTATGTATATGGAAGTTGTATAATGTTTAGTTTCATTAGTATAAATGATAATGAAATAAACATGACCATACATTTATCTGTCAGGACATTTTACTTTAAAAAAAACTAACTAAGAAAAGGTCAATTATCCACATGAGATAGAATGGAAATGGCATAGTTACTAAATTGTCATCAAACTATCACTGATATTAGAAATGGAAATTTATCAGGTCAAATTAAAATTTGCATAAATCAGGCTTGAATTCCTTAACGGTCAATGTTTTTATAAACCTAATGAATTTACTGATGACAGTTTTCATAGAAAGTTTCGCTTTCTCTCTCTCTTTATCTCTCTCTCTCTTTATCTCTCTCTCTCTCGAAAACAAACATTTCCAGGTCAATATTTGGATTTGTTTCAAAAATGTTTTCAAATATATACATATATCAATAGTTTTGATCATGAGTCAATTGAAGTTAGATCACCATGGAATACCTGGAAGCGCTGGACGGCCGTTTCGTCCTATTGTGGAACTCTTCAGCAGTGTGCATCCTTGACCCCGCCTTGTGGGATTCGAACCCAAGACCTATCAGTCTCGTGCTCAATGCATAGTGGAGTTAAACCGGGTATGTTGTGAGATACTAACTCATTGATAACAATAGTGGTTGTGTTGCTCAATTTCGTAGATTAGTTGAAGTTAGACATTAACAACGGCCGGCTCAGTGGTCTAATAGTTAAGCATTTGCGTGCGAGACTGATAGGTCCAAGGTTCCACTATCTTTTTTAGGGGATCGTGGATATGCACTGCTGAGGAGTCCCATACTAGGATTTATTAACTAAAATTATTCAATATAAATATGTTATACTTTTACTTACATGATGCATAAGCAAGTGATACAAATGCAGATCCTGAGTTCTGTAAATTTTGATTTATATTCTGATAGTGTTGTTGCTGTTGATGTTGTTGTTGTCTTGATGCAAGAGCAGCGGCAGCTATGGTAGCCGCAGCTGTTGCTGCCGAATCAACTTCATTTGGTAAAGCTAAATAGATAAACAAAATTAATGATAATAATAATAATAGTGATAATCAGACAATGATTAGAATAGAAATTGCAGGTGTTTTATAAAGATCATTGAATCAACCTTAGTCGACCTTAGTTGGAAATTCGTTGATGATCACGAAACATTGGACAGTTACTTCGTATTAGTATTGCAGTCCATAGGAGTGTAAAATCTATAACTTAATCACTGGGGATAAGAATATAAAACTATTGATCTGAAGAAAAATTTTAACCTTAAGACTCTTGATATGGAGTCTAATAGCCTATATATCTGATTACAACCAACTATCTTCCACTGTATTCCGTTGATAATTGTTTCGTATCCAATTCTATTGTATACGGATTCCCACCGAAACCTTAAAATGATCTCGAAAAATTATAATGATTATCTTCATTGGAGATTATTGTTTGTTATAAACAAGCTTTTTATACCTATAAATGGGAATAGTCAGGAAGTGACCGTATTTGGAATGCCATTGAAAGATACGAACCATAAGGCGGACATTTTCACGTGAATTTCTTTGGCTCGATTCCTTCGGAAGTTTTGAGTGATTATTGAGACGATCAGGTATTAAATGACTATGTACATGAAATGGATTTGAATCTTTAGAAGAGAATTAAGTTTTACAAAGTTTGAATATATAGTTTGTTGACGATTGCCATATCTTAAACTAAATCAGATTCGTAATTTCCTAATGACTATTCTAAAATATTAAACAACTGAATGTAATGTATTCACGTGATGCTGTTTACTTGTATCTTACAAGCAAGCGGTACTGGGTTCGAATCCCAGAGTGAACATCAACTCTGAGATGCAAGTACATCCAGCCGACGATTCCCAAATAGGACGAAACGCGTGTCCTGGATTCTATTGCTAGCTACTATCCATCTAATACTTTGATAATACCAATTATTAGGTAATAAATTTTGTTTGTAATTTTACTTTTTACTATGAATTAAAAGATACTACAATAAATATGGGTTTCATTAAGTTATATATTCCATACGTGTAACTGTTATTAAGTAACAGTTACTCAGGAAAAGAACCTAACTCCGCCTAGAGCCCATCTTGGGTTACTGCCGGTCCCAAGCCCGGATAAAGAAGATGGGTTTGGCATGGGTAAGCAACCCCGTTCCGTAGAAAACTAACTCGCCGAAAAAAATGCTAACCAGAAAAAAAATAATTCAAGCATTTAAACTCTGCCCTTGGATTTAAAAGTTCTACATATAGAAGAGCTATGACGACACATGGTGAAAGTTGGGTTCCTTCGGGAGTCACGTGGCTGATGCCCCTTCTGACAACCAGAGTAACCATTAATTTAGGTATATGGAGTGCTCGTAAAATGTGGGAGACCGGAAGAGTTTTTCAAATTGCTGCAGAACTGAAGAGAAAAGCCCCTAACCATTCTAGGAACAACTGAGAAGGATTGCTCGGGACACAGTTGAATAGAGAGTGCTGGTGTGTGGCCTATGCTCCTCGATGAGGTGTAACAGGCATAAGTAAGTATCAGATCATTTTTAAAAGATTATAATGATTTGTATTACAATAGCCAGTACTAAAAGGATTTGCATTTACAATTAGACGATTGATTGTCATTAGCTTTTACGTAGAGAACTTTTTTAAAGAGAAAAAATAGAATAAAGAGATTTAAGAATAATTATGAATCACTCAGTAGCTGAGTGGATAACGCTATGACCTTCGAAGCGAATGGTAATGAGTTCGAGTTCCAGATTGAACATCAAAACCGAGATGCAGGTACATCCAGCTGACGAGTCCCAAATAGAACGAAACGCGCGTCCTGGATTCCACTGCCAGCCATTATCCATCTTTAGGAATGATGGTTTGAAATACTTCCTGGAAATGAACTTCCATCCATTTTTAATTTTATGGTAATATATTCTATGTATGAAGATCTTTTGTAAACTATTCACTAAGTAGTATTGTGGTGTGTGCTATTGATGTGGTGTGGGTTACTTATATCCACATAAGTAGTATATAACGGTGTTCCGGCATAGAATACATTTCATTTCGATGAGGAAAGAATGAGAACGGAACGCACTTGATATGAAAACGCATGAATAATAAAATGTGAGACAATGGATTGATATTTCGCAAATTAACAATTTACTATGGGGTTCTCAGTTTTTATTGCGATGCTCTGTAATTTCATATCAAATACACTCAATTGTCCCCACTCGTGTTCTGTTCACTATACTGATATCGACAGTTATATAAGTAGTATGTATTCATCAACTGAAAGTGAAGTATGTGGAGGCAAAAGGTTAGGAAAATCAAAGAAATGAGAACAAAGAATGATAGATGTGGAAACGATAAAACAATAAAGTCTGAAACAATTGATTGACAGTTTGCAAATGAAGTATTTACTGTATGGTTCATAGATTTTACCAATAGATTATGTATTCAAATACATTCGATTGGTTCACACTTATGCGGTTGTTTACCGTAGTATGACTTACCAAATGCATTAGGTAATAAACTTCTTTGTTTCACTAAAGCATTACTTGAACTTAAGACTTCTTTTGGTAGAGCTCGTTTTGCTTCCACCTATAATGTTAATAAAACAAATTTAAACAAAATGTAATTAATATCAGAAGGGGTTTTGTGAATATTCTAGTTATTTCAATAGTTGAGATCATGAATCAATTAGAGCTAGATCATCGTGAAAAATCTGGAAAAATTGGACGGCCGTTTTGTCGTATTGTGGGACTTTTCAGCAGAGCGCATCCATGATCCCTTACAAAAGAGGTTAGAACCCTAGATCTATCAGTCTCGCACACGAACGCTTAACCTCTAGATCACTGAGCCGACCGGCATCCAACAGTCATAATAATGTCTAACTCAGCGGTAACATCTCTGACTGTGAAGCTGGGTGACACGGGATCGAATCCGTCAGGGAGCACCAGTTCCCTCAACGATTAAAGGTACACCTTGCTGACGAGTGCCAAGTAGCACGAAACCCGGGTCCAGGGTTTCCTGTCGACTACCTCCAATCACCATCTAATCTCACAATAGTGCCCGCAGTGTCGAGTCACCTAGACTGGTGGCCACATTGCAACATGGTCGATAGCATTCGATCTGCACTAATAATAAGGACTAGACAAGCATAACATTGGTCACCACCCAGTGATCAATCAATTGTGAATGTCTAACTTCAAATAATCCATGAAATTGTGCGACATATCTTTCATCTCACAACAGACTCAGTTGAACTCTATCGGTCACTGCTTCTCAATGTAATCATATTAGTTTTTATAACAAATTATGTTCATATTTATAATGAAATGTTTAGTATTGAAAAGAAGTGCAATTTACATTTATGAAGAAGTACTTTCACTAACACTTTTGGGGTAATTCAAAAAAAAATGGTTAGTTGCTTGACAACTAATAGTAAAAACTTAGAATTATATTCACTACTGAAATAAATAATGTTAGTCAGTATATAATAATCATAACTAGTACTTCAAGAAGTTAAGTGATCTTATTCATAATCATTTATAATGTAACACAGATTCACAGTTATATAATATACCCCTGTGGCCAAAGATAATTTTACATTGGTTTTTAGGAGAACCAGACACCACCCAGACTTTCACGTGACAACCTAAAATAGTACAGCTCAACTCCGTTTGACAGGGGTGTAACACAGATGCATTGATTTCAATCTTTCCTAATATTGTGAGTAACAATATATTACCCTTTATAACTAAATTTTAAATAGTACTCTTGATGTACACTTCTCCTTCCCGACCGTTGTTGCCACCTTGACGTGGTGGTCGAGCTTGTCTATCGTGATGAAGCTACTGAACTATACTGTCTGGAACAACCGTTCCTCAAGGTCCTATCATGCCAGACAGGTCGGTTGAAGAGCGGTAAGACTAAAAGCAACAAATTCAAGGTTCGAAGGCGAAGTCGTATTACTGACTGTACAGAAGTGTGACAGCTGTAAGGTGTTTCTTTCAGACAACCAGCATAACAGCGATACTGCTTTCCCACAAGGAGGCGTGGGGTTAGAAAAGGTCGACCCTAAAAATGCACACCTCACCTTATCCCACGGATATCCGTCTCCGGCGATAAGGTCTTAACAAGTACGGAGCTAACACAAAAATTACTCATAAAAAGGTCGTGTGTGACCGACCTCAAGCAGCTATCCCTTGGGCACTGCGTTCACGCTCTCAGGTCACTATGACCACCTTTAACCCGATTTTCATTTTCAGATACCTCCAGAAGAACCCTTCCACAGTGTGAGCAACCGGGAAATGACAACCGCTCTCATACCTCTAACAGCATTCAAGACCACTGTATTCATAATCAACACTTTTCCTTACTATCATTCCATATTTGTTGTATAGAAGGTTAAGCTAATCCAAATTCAACCTAAGCTATATAAATAAAATATAAACTTATATTAAGAAAAAGAATTCATTATTTAGATAAGAAATATTCAGTCATAATAATAATAATAATAATAATCAATAAATCGATAAATATTGATAAAGGATAAATACAGTTCAATCAATAAGGATATAAAACTTCTGTTTATTGTAAAACCTTAACGATTACTTATGAAAGTATCCGTTTATTGATTTTTCTTTTTTTTTTTTCTTTTCAAGAAACAGTAAATGATTTCCGTTTGTTTTCCTTTTTTTTTTGGTTGTTTCGGTAATAGAAATCACTAAACAATCTAAGTAAGTAAGACAACTACTATTGTATCCAATACTTTTTGGTATTGTGTATGAATGCTTTACCTCTAGATGATTTGTATGGTCTATGGAGATTGGTTAAGTGATTTAGAAATTTTGATTTTAATAAGTGGGACTTATGGTTTACTGTTCGATTTCCGATTAAGGAGTTGTGATTACTGATTGATGAGGAGTTCGATAGTTGGTGTTCATGATTTTAATAAAATCTAAAAATTCCTTAAATCATATACTTAATGAATAGCTAGAAAGTGAAAGAAATTGAATCACAAATGATTGATCATTGACCAAAATTTGTCTAGTAATCCCTTATTGTTATTGATTAATTAGTCAAATTTATTGTATGGTGTTAACTGAAGATTAAAACCAGTTATGTTAATCAGTCAGTTAGCTACAATGTAAAATCAGGCACATTTATGCATCGGTTTAAGTTGCCATACCTCATTAGTACAGTAAGATGAACACCGATTTCATAGAAGTAGTTAAATCAGTTGTGGTAATATATAAAGGAAACATTGCAATCAAGGATATAGTACAGGAAGAATGAATTAGTTGGTAGAAAGAAAGATATGAAGCGATTTTATTCTAATAGTTTAAGGGAAGACAGAGAGTGTATACATCGATGCTATTGTGATCGATTCTGAGCCATTTCACCTAGAGTCTCTAACCATTGATTACAATAGTCACACGGACCATAACCAAGTGGTCTGCATATACCAACTCATAACCTATCGGTCTAGTATAGGGTTGTGGATATTTTTAAATTTCTTTGAAATCATCAACTGATCTGATTTGAAATACCGCTAGACACGGAGGGTCCTCCTAGTGGAGTTGTAAAACCCTGATTCCAAACCAACGGTGCACATGGGCTCCAGGATCCTAAAGGAACACATGGTGTATGAACCAATCGTTGGTCACCGGCTACCATGAGACTGCATCTCCTTACGATGCCCCACTGCCTTGTGGGTCGGACCTTTAGATCAAAGGCTCTGGGTGTAGCTCTCTAAGAAAATCACCTGATTCGGTTCAGACACCCAGGCAGTATCACAGCCCTCACGCAAATCAAATGAGTTCTATGTGGCGCCTATGTATTTGGTGCCTCCTTGTACCAATATCTATGTGTTCGAATAAATAAATAAATAATTAACATAGAAAGTTATCAAAAATGAATCAATCGATCTACATGAAAGATCCATTACTCAACAAAATTGATCATGTTTAAGTTCACGGGATCCACTTTCACAAAACATGACAAAACACTTAACCAGTTATAGAAAAGATCATAGAATTATCACTATTCGAGAAAACACAATCAAATACCAATGTTACTTATACAATATAAACATTGGATTTTATAAGTAACCGTGATATCGCAACCATTAGATGGTTGGGATAAATAGAACTGCATCCAGTTCTCAACTACATCAAATATGAGCAAAGATGGGTGGTGGCTAGCAGTGGAATCCAGGACGCGCGTTTTGTCCTATTTGAGACTCGTCAGTTGGATGTACTTACATCTCATAGTTAATGTTCACTCTGGGACTCGCATCCAGTACCGTCCGCTTCAAATGCCATCGCGTTATCCACAAGCAAGTGGCTATCAGGACTCAGTAGCTAAGTGGATAACGCGATGGCGTTTGAAGCGAATGGTACTGGGTTCGAGTCCAAAAGTGAACATCAACTCTGAGATGCAGGTACATCCAGATGACGAGTCCCAAATAGGACGAAACGCGCCTCCTGGATTCCACTGTTAGCCACTATCCATCTTTGCTTAGAATGCTTATAAATTAAAACAATATCGAGGCAATACGCACAGTATGCACATATGCCAACAAAAGGCTGATCAGTTGCAGTCCTAAACATCAATAGGAAGATTCAAGTAAAAGAATATCAAGTGAATTACACCAAATATACATATATTATAACTTGTGGCTTGAGTGCCCTGCTAGCGTATAATGTAATGATGCAGTCAATTAGAGAATAGTGCGTCATCGACCGGACCATGGACGCATAAAACACGTACGAGCAGTCTGGAGTCTTTAGCGGTCCTTCTTCCTGCCTAGCTCTGCCTGGGAGATAGTGGGAGATAGTAATTAATAGACTGGGCATAATTCAAGAATGGTAAATCGTATAATAATAGTTCATAAGTCAAAATAAAGATTATAATAAGAGAAACACGAATATGCAGATAGTTTAGTTACTTAACAATGACACAATAAAAATATGCGCATAGTATTGTTCCATAAATGGATCTCAATAGTTACCATTCATTATGCTTATCGGGACAATAATAACATACGATTTCCTTAATAATTACTCTATAACCAATACTTGTATACCTATTCAAGAATACGAACATATCAATGATTTTCAAAGGAGATATTATAAAGAGTTAAGGGAACATTTAAAAACTACATGTTCTATAACACAGTTGGAAAACGTAATTGAAACAAGCATAGATAAATTAAACTTTTAGTCTCAAATTTTTTTTGTAACATGCTGAGTAATTTAATTAACTTGAAATTTAGGGTTTCTTTCCACAACAACAACAATCGTCGATTAGGGAACAATGAATTATTGATCGGACCAAGGATGTATAAAACAAAAAGAATAACAAATGATTACACAATTCTGTTACATTCATGAAAAAGATATAGTCTGAAACTAAGGATAATTTTCATATTTTTGTTTATTGTAATCTTGTAATGAACTCCGCCTGGAGCTCTTCTGAGGCTACTGTCAATCCTATGCCTGAATAAAGGAGGGGGTTTGAGCATAGAATTAGCTATCCCATCCCGAAGAAAACTAACTCACTAAAAAAATACGCTAACTAGAAAATTATTTAAA